CCTTCTTCTTCCTCCAAACACGGCGAGTGGAGTTTAGACCAAAAAGCTCTATTTTTGTCTCATCAGACCACATGACCTTCTCCCATTCCTCCTCTGGATCATCCAGATGGTCATTGGCAAACTTCAGACGGGCCTGGACATGCGCTGGCTTGAGCAGGGGGACCTTGCGTGCGCTGCAGGATTTTAATCCATGACGGCGTAGTGTGTTATTAATGGTTTTCTTTGAGACTGGTCCCAGCTCTCTTCAGGTCATTGACCAGGTCCTGCCGTGTAGTTCTGGGCTGATCCCTCACCTTCCTCATGATCATTGATGCCCCACAAGGTGAGATCTTGCATGGAGCCCCAGACCGAGGGTGATTGACCGTCATCTTGAACTTCTTCCATTTTCTAATAATTGCGCCAACAGTTGTTGCCTTCTCACCAAGCTGCTTGCCTATTGTCCTGTAGCCCATCCCAGCCTTGTGCAGGTCTACACTTTTATCCCTGATGTCCTTACACAGCTCTCTGGTCTTGGCCATTGTGGAGAGGTTGGAGTCTGTTTGATTGAGTGTGTGGACGGGTGTCTTTTATACAGGTAACGAGTTCAAACAGGTGCAGTTAATACAGGTAATGAGTGGAGAACAGGAGGGCTTCTTAAAGAAAAACTAACAGGTCTGTGAGAGCCGGAATTCTTACTGGTTGGTAGGTGATCAAATACTTATGTCATGCAATAAAATGCAAATTAATTACTTAAAATTATACAATGTGATTTTCTGGATTGTGTACCTAAGATAAAAATTACAGACCTCTACATGCTTTGTAAGTAGGAAAACCTGCAAAATTGGCAGTGTATCAAATACTTGTTCTCCCCACTGTATATATATATATTTTTTACTGCTCGACTAAAACAATCTCTGTCGACCAACAGCCTAACGACCAAACAATCGACCAGTCGACTAATTGTGGTCAGCCCTATAGGGGACCCTATAATCTTTTGCTACATTTAATGTTTTCTCTTAGCTACTTCATGTAGCTAACATATTCATGCTTCACATATTCCTCTTTGGTTTAGAAGATACTGTTGCACAAACATGCTGATTTAGATCTACACAAACACTGGTATTATCAGGCTGTATAGCTAATTACGTTTGCTCTGACTCAGTACATTAATTAGCTAGCTAGCTAGCGATTAGCATTAGCGGCTAACAAGATTTAGGGCCAACTTGCTAAGAAAAGACAAACTAGCTGTTTGCAGATGTAAGAAACACAACCTAATAGTGTAATTATAGAACGCTAGTGGATTTATATTAAGAAGGAAAGTGAAAACAGCATCGATGTCATCAACATTGTTGCATGTGCTGCATTGACCATGCAGACGGAACACAAGTGTCTTGTGGTCAAGCAACAACAAATGCACTCCTTGAGTGACAGGGTGGGGCTAGGTCTGTGTTGAAAGCGGCATGGAGAGAGAGAGAGCGGAGCGAGATGACTCAAGTAGCAAAGTAAACTAAAAAAATGTATGTTACGCCACGTATCACATTTAACAAACCAAATACTGTAAAAACCCAAACCGGTCCGGGCATCAATACCGGTATATCATAAAATATGGAATACCACCCAGCCCTACCTGTTATTAATCAGCAAGGAGGGTTAGATTAGTCTGTTACACACCCACACACGGCATCCGACCGCAAGGTGCTACACGGTAGTGCGTACAGCCCAGTACATCACTGGGGCTGAACTCCCTGCCATCCAGGACCTCTATACCAGGCGCAGTGTCAGAGGAAGGCCCTAAAAATTGTCAGACTCCAGCCACCCAAGCGGAACCGGCGCGCCAAGTCTGTGACCAAAAGGCACCTGAATAGCTTCTACCCCCAAGTCATAAGACTGCTCAACAGTCAATCAAATGGCTACCCGGACAATTTACATTGACCCTCTTTATTATTTATTTATCTTAATTGTTTTGCACTGATTCCATTGCACTGGCTCAATGCACACTCACTAGACTCTACCCACACACTCACACATACTACATACGCTCACACACAAAATACACACATACATGCATATTGACGCCACACACACTTTCACACTTCACATACGCTTCTGCTACTCTGTTTATTATATACTGAACAAAAATATAAACGCAACATGTGAAGTGTTGGTCCCATGTTTCATGAGCTAAAAAAAAAATTCCATACGCACAAAAAGCTTATTTCTCTCAAATGTTGTGCACAAATTTGTTTACATCCATGTCAGTGAGCATTTCTCCTTTGCCAATATAATCCATCCACCTGACAGGTGTGGCATATCAAGAAGCTGATTAAACAGCATAATCATTACACAGGTGCACCTTGTGCTGGGGACAATAAAAGGCCACTCTAAAATGTGCCGTTTTGTCACACAACACAATGCCACAGATGTCTCTAGTTTTGAGGGAGTGCGCAATTGGCATGCTGACTGCAGGAATGTCCACCAGAGCTGTTGCCAGAGAATGTAATGTTTATTTCTCTACCATAAGCCACCTCCAATGTCGTTTAGAGAATTTGGCAGTACGTCCAACCGGCCTCACTACCGCAGACCACGCCAGCCCAGGACCTCTTCATCCGGCTTCTTCCCCTGCGGGATCGTCTGAGACCAGCCACCCTGACAGCTGATGAAACTGAGGAGTTTTCTGTCTGTAATCAAGCCCTATTGTGGGGAAAACTCCTTCTGATTGGCTGGGCCTGGCTCCCAAGTGGGAGGCCCACCCATGGCTGCACCCCTGCCCAGTCATGTGAAATCAATAGATTAGGGCCTAATGAACTTATTTAAATTGACTGATTTCCTTATATAAACTTTAACTCAGTAAAATCATTGAAATTGTTGCATTTATGTTTTTGTTCAGTATATATCCAGATTGCCTAGTCACTTTTACCCCTACCCACATCTACATACTGTATTATCTCAATTACCTCAACTACCTCGTACCCTTGCACATTGACTCTCTACTGGTACTTCTTGTATATAGCATCGTTATTGTTTTTATTGTGTTACTATTTCCCTTTTTATTTAGCAAATATTTGTCATCCTTTTTAACTCTGCACTGTTTGGAATGGGCTCATAAGGAAGCGTTTCACTGTAAAGTCTACACCTGTTGTAGACCAATAAAAATGGATTTGAAACACAAAGGTGTTGTGTAAGCGCTCTGGGCTACTCCTGGGAGCTGTCACAATTATGAGCTGGATGGAGTGGCGAGACAGTGATGGCCTCGCTACACTGACCCTGACATTACTCTGCTGCCTGAGTGTTCCAGGCTAAATGTACTCCATGCTGCTGATTTAGTTAAGGGCAATTCCACGTTAACGGACTCTGATCTTTCACTTAAAATGTACGTATACCAAAGAAAAAACATTGATTTCAAGGTGTAACAAACCATACAACTCTATGCACAATGATTACTTTTAACAATTTACACAGAACATTTTACTGGAAGAACTGTGCAGATGCAAAGTTTAGTAACAGAATTTCTGCAAAACAAAAATTGTGTGCACGTTTTCCAAATATCTGCTCCAAATTAAGATTAAACGATGTCTGCAGAATGAATGGGGTGTCGGCTATGACATGACACATTGACTTTGAAAAAATATATTTTGGTTATTGAAGTACAGTAAGTGAAGTGGATTTATACCCGGTAACGGAATTGAGGTAACGGTATTACATCATGGGTCCCCGATCTGTACTGCATTATTTTAATGAGCTCTGCCCCCAAACAAGACCAAATGTGGTTGGACCGGACCATATCTTAACCAATCATAGACATCTATGTTTCACAAGTTAGGACATCAACATACAGCACAGTAGAGCTCAGTAGGGTACAGTGCAGCACAGAACAGTAGAGTTGGTGACGGAATATTGAGTTTTAATCACTTAATAATTCTTAAACAATTTATATCAGTAGAAACACTAACTAATTGATAAGTTTGCCTTTACTTGTTACTTCTGTGAACTTTCATTATCCTCCCTTATGAAGGAGAGAAAATATATGTGGGTTTTTGGTAACGGAATTTCAAGGCACAAGGAAGGCAATGTTTCTTAAACTTACAGAAGGCAGAAACATTTCTCAGAAACTAAATATAAGTGTTGATATTAGTTGGCTGGGTTCTTTACTTCAACATTGTTTTTTGATGTATTTCTAATAACTTTTAAAACTTTTTCTGGTAATGTTTTCTAAGATCCATTTTACATCTGTGTGACCAGAAATCAAAGCCTTTGCTTATTCAAAATGTTTAGGATGGAAAATGGTTGAAAAATGTATATGCCTTGATTTCTCATATATATATATATACACACACACACACACTATTAGCTTTCATTTGACATGCTCCTATGAACTTCACATGTTGATGCTCATGGAAATGACCTTAAAGCTGCAATCTGTAACGTTCTGGCGACCTGACCAAATTCACATAGAAATCGGAGTTATAGATCTGTCATTCTCATTGAAAGCAGGTCTTAGAAGCGGTAGATATGTTCTATGTGTGCTATTTCTAAGCCTACCGTTTCATTTTTGCGTCTTTTTCTTTCGTTTTTGTACACCAGCTGAAAATACAATATTTTTGGTTATTTAAAATATATTTCACAGCAGTTTAGATGGTACAGTGATTCTCTACACTTCATTGCTTGTTTTGTCACATAAACTGAAATATGGCTAACTTAAAATTTTAGCAACCAGGAAATGGCAGAGTGATTTCTGCAAATTGCACCTTTAAGCATGCATGTATACACCTTTGAAGAGCTCTCCGATTTCATGTCACAGAATTTGAGTTTGAATTTGCATGAAGAATGTGATTGTAAATGGAGGTAGGATTGACAGGGATATGGTTGAGTTTTGAAATGGTTTTGTAATTCGTACAGTATGAGGGTTTTCAGGGTCCTTGGGGAGAGCAGCCTTTTTCAGCTATTTTTTTCTGGTTGGATTAATGCACTCTTGACATTGACATTTCCAGATTGACAGAGCTGTGGGTTGTTTGTGTGGTGTACTGACTGTAACACAACATTTTGCTCCTTTTTGTAGGTCATGGGAAGAATCACAAAGATGCCGCGTCTGTGCGTGCCACTCACCCCATACCAGCCGCCTGTGGGATCTACTACTTTGAAGTGAAGATTGTCAGCAAGGGCAGGGATGGGTAAGGGTTTGCTGATACTTGGTACCCCCACTGACTGTTCTGACCTCCCACCTTTTTCATTTTAACACTGTGGTTTGTTTACCCATGTTAGCTATTAGCCTCTAAATCAGTTGAAAATGGCATGTTGAGCAATGTGTAAAGAAACTAAAGAGCGCTGTAAATAACAGAAGGGAATTTTGGGACAAAGGATTTATCAACAGCTATTGCCTCATATCAGGTTGACTCATGTTGTCTAAACTGATGATGTCGTTGACCTTTGACCTCCTGTTGTTGTCTCCAGGTACATGGGGATTGGTCTGTCTGCCCAGGGGGTCAACATGAACAGACTGCCTGGTGAGTATCTGGGAAGGCGGTGGCAGACGGGAATGTTTAGATTGTAGGATGAGTGAGGGTTTTGGAGGTCATAGGGTTCACAGCTAGAACCCTGCCCATAATCTTTGCTGGATTGGTTAAGGATTGAAGGACAAGGAGTAGTAGTCGGTGTGTGTAAGCTTTGCTTGTTCAGCTGTAATAGATTGTGGACAACTAAACCTGTTTTATTATCACAACTCAGACATTGTTAATCTGCAGATAGACCTAGATCTCATCACACCGTCACTGCAAGAGTGACTGGTGTGATTCTAGATAAAAACCACATCATAAGGTTCAATTTTGACTATTTAAGGGTCACAGTTTTAAGATGTTAATCTTTTACAGATGCTTTGCTACATTTAGAGTGCTGTGGGAATCTATTTATTGTCTACTCTGGAGAGCCTGGAATGGATGGATCTAGATTTAATGTCACATTGAAACCATGACTGACTGTTACAGAACATGCCTAGACTTGTTTGCGCACAGCCGTTAGTAATGAGCGATGACATTTAACAGGCAAAATACCACCCAATACCTTTTTTCTCCACATAAAAGCTTCTCGTGTCTGACCTGTATGAAGGTCAGGTGATAGTGGAGCTGCTACAGACAGGACGGCTCACATTCATTGAAGAGGAAGGGAGAAATAAATGAGTAATTGTTGATAATTTAGTAGTGTTCTCAAGGCCATCTAATTCAGTATAGTCCTAGGGCTGAAATGGAATTTACCTCAATCATACACTACCGGTCAAAAGTTTTAGAACACCTACTCATTCAATGGTTTTTCTTTATTTTTACTATATTCTACATTGTAGAATAATAGTGAAGACATCAAAACAATGAAAAGAACACATATGGAATCATGTAGTAACCAAAAAAAGTGTTAAACAAATCAGAATATATTTTATATTTGAGATTCTTCAAATAGCCACCCATTTGCCTTGATGACAGCTTTGCACACTCTTGGTATTCTCTCAACCACCTTCATGAGGTAGTCACCTGGAATGCATTTCAATTAACAGGTGTGCCTTCTTAAAAGTTAATGCGTTTGAGCCAATCAGTTGTGTTGTGACAAGGTAGGGGTGGGGGGTATACAGAAGATAGCCCTATTTGGTAAAAGACCAAGTCCATATTATGGCAAGAACAACTCAAATAAGCAAAGAGAAACGACAGTCCATCATTACTTTAAGACATGAAGATCAGTCAATACGGAACATTTCAAGAACTTTGAATGTTTCTTCAAGTGTAGTCGCAAAAACCATCAAGCGCTATGATGAAACTGGCTTTCATGAGGACCGCCACAGGAATGGAAGACCCAGAGTTACCTCTGCTGCAGAGGATAAGTTCATTAGCGTTACCAGCCCCAGAAATTGCAGCCCAAATAAATGCTTCACAGAGTTCAAGTAACATACACATCTCAACATCAACTGTTCAGAGGAGACTATGTGAATCAGGCCTTCATGGTCGAATTGCTGCAAAGAAACCACTACTAAAGGACACAAATAAGAAGAAAAGACTTGCTTGGGCCAAGAAACACGAGCAATGGACATTAGACCGGTGGAAATGTGTCCTTTGGTCTGGAGTCCAAATTGGGAGATTTTTGATTCCAACCGCCGTGTCTTTGTGAGACGCGGTGTGGGTGAACGGATGATCTCCGCATGTGTATTTCCCACCGTAAAGCATGGAGGAGGAGGCGTTATGGTGTGGGTGTGCTTTGCTGGTGACACTGTCTGTGATTTATTTAGAATTCAAGGCACACTTAACCAGCATGGCTACCACAGCATTCTGCAGCGATACGCCATCCCATCTGGTTTGGGCTTAGTGGGACTATCATTTGTTTTTCAACAGGACAATGACCCAACACACCTCCAGGCTGTGTAAGGGCTATTTTACCAAGAAGGAGAGTGATGGAGTGCTGCATCAGATGACCTGGCCTCCACAATCCCCCGACCTCAACCAAATTGAGATGGTTTGGGATAAGTCGGACCGCAGAGTGAAGGAAAAGCAGCCAACAAGTGCTCAGCAAATGTGGGAACTCCGTCAAGACTATTGGAAAAGCATTCCAGGTGAAGCTGGTTGAGAGAATGTCAAGAGTGTGCAAAGCTGTCATCAAGTAAAGAAAAACCCTTGAATGAGTAGGTGTTCTAAAACTTTTGACCGGGAGTGTATATTCCACAATACAGTTACAGATAGCCTACTGTAGAATAGTCAGAGCATAGATCAAATTGGTCAGTCTGCAGCACTCCTGGTTCAGTGAATGAAGCCATCCAAGCAGAAACACTCTCATGCCAGGGCCTGATGAGATTGGATTGGATGTAACCAAACAGGCTAGTAGATGATTGTTTGCCACCAAACACAGAGGAGAGTACAGAGCAGTATCAGTGTATGAATACAGGGCCATCTGTACCCTGGCCTGGCCCACTGCTCAGCAGTAATTAGTTAATCAAACACTTTTCCTTTCATCACCAGTTTAAAGGTGCACTATGCAGAAATCGCTCCCTCATTTCCTGGTTGCAAGAATTATAATACTTAGTCTAATTTCAGTTTATGTGACAAAACAAGCTGTGAAATATATTTTCCATAACCAAAAATATTGTATTTTCAGCTGTTTGAAGCTGGTGTACAAAAGTGAAAGTAAAAGATACAAAAGTGAAACTTAAGAACGGGAAGCTTAAACAGCGCACATTTCTATGTGAATTTTGACGGGTCGCCCGAAAAGTTACATATTGCAGAATTAAACAGGCAATGGGGGATGAGCATAAAATGCATGTAGATAATACATTCTTGCTTTACTCCATCAAATACTCTCTCGCCCTCTCCCCCCACAACCATGTATGCACGCACACACACTGTCACACACAGTCACACACATTAAGAGATCACTGATTGGTACAGTGGCTGCTGTAACACAGGACAAGAGGGTGGGTATATTTCTGACTTTGGCCCATGGGAGCTATGTTTACTCTTGTGCACTGATGCGATTCCCTGCCAATTAGATCATTCCTTCGTGCTGCTCTGACCAATTATATGACCCCTGCCTCAGGCTGTGTCACCTGCCTATTGGGTTCTCCATGGCGCCTGAGGCCTTTGGAATGCTTTGGACTCATCCAGCCAATTCTACATGCTCTTGCTGACTACAACTGCTGTTCATTCACACCCTGCTCTGAGTGCTTCAAATGTATATGTTACACAATGGTTGGAATATGGTGGAAATGGGTGTGTTGGAGAGTTTAGTTGTATGAACATATTGTTTATGAAGATTTATTTTGTTACTGGGTTTCTTGCACATTCTATATCAACAGACTTTAGTACATTTGTGTGGGTGGTTGTGTTTCGGTCCTGGCTGTAATAGTTGTACATTCCTTGTTGACCTCTGTGTGTCTGATCCCAAAGTGGAGCCCTGCCCATTTCATTAGCATGTAGGGAACACTGAGCCCAGCTTTAGGAGCAATATCCCTGTCGGCGCTGCTCCGCAGATTAATCTAATACCTCACAGTTCACACACGACCTACTTTCTCTGCGCCACTTTCTCTTTTTGGTTGGTGACAGACACTGATTGAGCCGACAATATACACTCTGCAGACACACATAAGCCTACACAATACAACCCCCCCCACACAAACACATGCACTGACTTGAAGATCTCTTCATCCACGTCTCCCTCTGCACATGCGGTCGACTCTCCTTCCCCGTCCCTATTGATACCATGCACACATATGTACTGCTCTGTTTGAGTATGACTCATCAGTCAGTGCTCCTATTCAGAGACTGATGCCTCTCGCTGGCCACCCAGAGTATTGCACATGCTACACAGGACACAAGTGGGGATATCCAAATGAAAGAGACCATTTGTCAGGCTCAGCTCCTCCCTGTGTCACTCTCTTTATGGGGATGATATTACTCATCACACTGCTGGGCTCACCCATCTCACTCCCTCCCCTCGCTAATGTATGAGTGGCACTGCCCTAACCATTAACTGATGCATATGAATCTAGCTTGATGTGAGATGAGAATGGTTACCTCTAGTTGTAAGTTTATGGAAGTGTTAGTTCAATATGGCTTGATTGTCTCCATTGTTTCCTCCATGTTGTTAATGTGTAATACTCATGTACCATAGGTCTAGATTTCCTTTCATCACTTCTGCCTTTGTCTCCCATCCCAGGTTGGGACAAGCACTCATATGGTTACCACGGCGACGACGGACACTCCTTCTGCTCTTCAGGGACTGGCCAGCCATATGGCCCAACCTTCACCACAGGAGATGTGATTGGCTGCTGTGTGAACCTAATTAACAACACCTGTTTCTACACCAAGAACGGCATCAGTCTAGGTGAGAACTGCACACCAACAGTGCAGGGGAATAAACATCCAAGTTAATTGTTATATGAAAATACACTATGCTTCACCCATTTTGATATGTTCCCAGGCGATATATATACAATTTTGTTTAAGTGATTGCAAATTATAACATTTTCAATATCTTCCAGTATATTAACATTTGTTTCTCTCTGTTTGTTCTCCAGGTGTAGCCTTTACAGACCTCCCTGTGAGTATTATACTCAAATGTGGACATATTTCATTCAATGTCAAGGACTTCTGTTGTTTTTACGTGCGTAGTATATTGTATAGCAGGGATCTTCAACTTATCTTGCCCAGGGACCCCCTCCCAGGCAAACCGGTGACCCAGGGACCCCCATCATATCTTAGCAACACAATTTTTTTTAATGTCTTGTCTTATCATCAGGTGAATGATAATGGCAAGGAGAAGTAATCAATATTTTAAAATGAATATATTTAGTAGAACGTTTTTCATTATTTTGACCTCCCCACATTATAATTGGAAGAGGAAGTGTAAACTCTAACAAAGCCTATTACAGTGAGGGAAAAAAGTATTTGATCCCCTGCTGATTTTGTACGTTTGCCCACTGACAAAGAAATGATCAGTCTATAATTTGAATGGTAAGTTTATTTGAACAGTGAGAGACAGAATAACAACAAAAAAATCCAGAAAAAAGCATGTCAAAAATGTTATAAATTGATTTGCATTTTAATGAGGGAAATAAGTATTTGACCCCCTCTCAATCAGAAAGATTTCTGGCTCCCAGGTGTGTTTTATACAGGTAATGAGCTGAGATTAGGAGCACACTCTTAAAGGGAGTGCTCCTAATCTCAGTTTGTTACCTGTATAAAAGACCTGTCCACAGAAGCAATCAATCAATCAGATTCCAAACTCTCCACCATGGCCAAGACCAAAGAGCTCTCCAAGGATGTCGGGGACAAGATTGTAGACCTACACAAGGCTGGAATGGGCTACAAAACCATCGCCAAGCAGCTTGGTGAGAAGGTGACAACAGTTGGTGCGATTATTCGCAAATGGAAGAAACACAAAATAACTGTCAATCTCCCTCGGCCTGGGGTTCCATGCAAGATCTCACCTCATGGAGTTGCAATGATCATGAGAACGGTGAGGAATCAGCCCAGAACTACACGGGAGGATCTTGTCAATGATCTCAAGGCAGCTGGAACCATAGTCACCAAGAAAATAATTGGTAACACACTACGCCGTGAAGGACTGAAATCCTGCAGCACCCGCAAGGTCCCCCTGCTCAAGAAAGCACATATACAGGCCCGTCTGAAGTTTGCCAATGAACATCTGAATGATTCAGAGGAGAACTGGGTGATGTGGTCAGATGAGACCAAAATCAAGCTCTTTGGCATCAACTCAACTCGTCGTGTTTGGAGGAGGAGGAATGCTGCCTATGACCCCAAGAACACCATCCCCACCGTCAAGGTGGAAACATTATGCTTTGGGGGTGTTTTTCTGCTAAGGGGACAGGACAACTTCACCGCATCAAAGGGACGATGGACGGGGCCATGTACCGTCAAATCTTCGGTGAGAACCTCCTTCCCTCGGCCAGGGCATTGAAAATGGGTCGTGGATGGGTATTCCAGCATGACAATGACCCAAAACACACGGCCAAGGCAACAAAGGAGTGTCTCAAGAAGAAGCACATTAAGGTCCTGGAGTGGCCTAGCCAGTCTCCAGACCTTAATCCCATAGAAAATCTGTGGAGGGAGCTGAAGGTTCGAGTTGCCAAACGTCAGCCTCGAAACCTTAATGACTTGGAGAAGATCTGCAAAGAGGAGTGGGACAAAATCCCTCCTGAGATGTGTGCAAACCTGGTGGCCAACTACAAGAAACGTCTAACCTCTGTGATTGCCAACAAGGGTTTTGCCACCAAGTACTAAGTCTTGTTTTGCAAAGGGGTCAAATACCTCTTTCCCTCATTAAAATGCAAATCAATTTCTAACATTTTTGACATGCGTTTTTCTGGATTTTTTTGTTGTTATTCTGTCTCTCACTGTTTTAAATAAACCTACCATTAAAATTGTAGACTGATCATGTCTTTGTCAGTGGGCAAACGTACAAAATAAGCAGGGGATCAAATACTTTTCTCCCTCACTGTAGCTAGAAAGGTAACTCCAAACACATTTTTGCTAAGAGCAGCTGTTTAGCTGGTTAAACAAAGGTTAGCCATTGTTAGCAAAAATGAATGTCCAAGTCAAGAAAGCTTACCAGCAGCACTGGTAGCCTATGCACAGGTGCTTTTTCAAAGCCTATGTCAGATACTCCAGTGAGTGTAATTGGCTCCAAATGAGTGTAATTTGCACAATATTAGTAATTGAGAAACAAAGTTGACATAATTAGAAATAAGATATTCTCCTCTTTTCTACTGAAGGTATGTAATTCAAAATGTGTTTATTCTGTTGCTAGCGATATTCATAAAAACACGTATTTTGGTTTTATATTGTCGTGGACTCCCGGTTGAAAACCCATGTTGTATAGTAGTCTATACTGTTTCCTTGACTTCCCCATCTGACATTCTTTACGGGTGCCAATTAATAGTGTGTATAGTAGCCTTGAATATTATTTTGAATAATAATCTTTAAATTAGGGTAATTCAGTAGCGGCAGCTTTGCTGCTTCCATTAGTGATGATGATATGAATGTCCTATATTATTCACGGTTGCCATGCCATCAAGTGATCAAAATTAATGGCAAGTTCTTCCTATTATGGCCAGAGGGGGAATGTGCGCTTGCCAAGGTGTGCAATGCTAATATTGTATATACCTGTGTGTTCACACCTAACCCTCTACCCACAGCCCAACCTGTACCCCACCGTGGGCCTGCAGACTCCAGGAGAGATTGTGGATGCTAACTTTGGCCAGCAGCCCTTTGTGTTTGACATTGAGGACTATATGAGTGAATGGAGGGCTAAGATCCATGGCATGATCGCCCGCTTCCCCATCGGAGAGAGACTGGGGGAGTGGCAGGCAGTGCTGCAGAAGTAAGGGATCCATACCGACATTACACTTTTCACCCTAACAGACTACTGTGTCTTTCTCTACTACTGTAAGGCTAAACCATGTCTTTGATTCTTCCAGTATGGTATCCACCTACCTGGTGCATCATGGGTACTGTGCTACGGCCACAGCCTTCGCCAGGGCTACAGAGACCTTGATCCAAGAGGACCAGACCTCCATAAAGAACAGACAGAGTGAGAACCACACAAAGGCTCCACACTGACAATACCACGGAAACACTGAGGAGCAATCACTGTCATACATTTGCTCACAGTCATCCATTCAATCAGTTTTGAATGATAATATGCCTCTTTCTGCCCACAGGAATACAGAAGCTGGTATTGTCAGGGCGGGTTGGAGAGGCCATCGAAGCCACACAGCAGCTGTACCCTGGGCTCCTAGAACACAACCCCAATCTACTCTTCATGTTGAAGTGAGCAGCCTTGAACCAACTATGGGACTCTTTTATAGTGTTAATCTAAAGGTTCAATTAAGGAGTATTGGAATTGTGGGGCTTAAATAAGCACTCTCTGCTGGTCTTGTAGTGTCTTTGCAGGCTCAGGCACATACAACACAACCCCAGGAGCATTTTTGCAGTAAAGCTCTGGTCTGCTGCCCAGCTGTGTGTTTATGGCACAAAGACATTAGATGACATTAATAAATACTGTGGTCTGCTGAGAGATATTTGGAGACGCAGACCCACAGCAAGGTGGCCATTATTTATGGCTTTCTTATAGAGGAAGAGAGGAGCTTGTTGTAGCAGTTACACAGAGGTGGGAGGGGGCAGGGTAAGCACAAGGTTAGTTGTTGCCGCCGAGGGAACTCCTGATTTGATTGGTCATGCTTGTTGCTCCATTTTGTCATGGAAGACGAGAGAGCAGAACAGAACAGGCATTCATCCGGTCACAGTGACATGTATCCATAAAGCCAGATAGATACTCATACTCCGTAACCAGTCTGACTTGTTACATTTACACATTTCTGGGTACAAAGACATGATCTTACACAGCCTCACCTTTGCCGACTTCTGAAAGCAACTGAAGTTTTGCAGTAATTATAGTTGACAATTGTTTTCATTCAGACTGCATGAGATATCTGACAGTTAAGCAGAATGAAAGGTTTAATATCAGATGGTACAATGTATTCCAGGACAAAGCATGTCAGACATTGTAACAGATTGTAGAGTAGTGATCACACTGAGATTGCTAGTGGAGTGGTTGATGTGAATGATGTCAGAGTGATAGACCGTAGATTGTAGAGTAGATGTCAGACAGAGTCATGGTTGCCCGTCCCTCCCAGGTGTCGGCAGTTTGTGGAGATGGTGAACGGTACAGACAGTGAGGTACGATGCTTTAGTGTCCGCTCCCCCAAGTCCCAGGACATCTACCCGGGCTCCCCCAGCCTGAGCCCCCGACATGGAGCCACCAACCCTAATCTGCACAGTGCAGGTAAGGGAAACGCCTGCAAACACACCTTCACACTTACTTATCCATCTGCCCAGTGTGTTAAAAACACAAATGAGATAAGGGAGAGTATTGTCTATCTATTGTATATGTCTGTTTCACCCTGGCTCTCTGTCCTCTCCAGGAGCAGACAGCCCTACATGCAGTAACGGGGTCACCCCTCCCAACAAGAACAAGAGCCACAACAAGTACCCAGGTGTCAGCTCTGCCTCCTCCTCCTCCTCTTCCTCCCCTTCCTCTGTCAACTACTCTGAGTCCAACTCCACTGACTCCACCAAGTCCCAGCCTCACAGTGGCACCAGCAACCAGGAGGAGACCAGGTGTGTGGCAAGGCAAGGGTCTTTGTGTTTGATTATTAGTGTGGTTGTGTTTTTACTGGTGTGCCAGGTGTGTGTCTGTGAGTGTGGGAGAAAGGCAGACCATCTGCGGTATTATGACGGATGACTGAACCTGTCCATGTGTTTGTGTGCTCTGCAGTGACAGTGAGATGGAGATTGAGGCTGAGCACTACACTAACGGGGTGGCAGAGAACCCCTCTGCTCGGATCATGAATGGCACCTACAAGCACCAGGAAATCCTGCAGGCTGAGGACAGCAGCCTGGGCAATGGAGTGGCAGGTACAGACGCTTGACACATGCACACACACACGCTTACTGTTTTGATTGTCAGGCGCACACACCCTGCCCCAGGTGTCAATGTCACTCCCACAATGTTTTCTTTGTCACTTTTGTCTCCCTCTCTCTGACTCTGTCACTGTGTGTGTCTGCTTTTCTCTGTCTCTCTGTTTTTCCTTTCTGGCTGGCTGGATATCTGGGGATGTGTGTTGCTAAATTGAGCTCAAACATAATCCAGTCAGACAGATGTTTGTCTCGTCAAGGTTGCTAAATGAAATAGACAGCAGCTTATTTTATTTTATTTAATTTTTTTGGCGTGTCACTGACATTATGAAAATGTGAATGAAAGTGTGTATGTATACAGTATGTGTCCATATCAGTATTGTTTTAATTTTAATGTAAAAAAATTTACCCTTATTTTACCAGGTAAGTTGACTAAGAACACATTCTCATTTACAGCAACGACCTGGGGAATAGTTACAGGGGAGAGGAGGGGGGATGAATGAGCCAATTGGAAGCTGGGGATGATTAGGTGGCCATGATGGTATGAGGGCCAGATTGGGAATTTAGCCAAGACTCCAGGGTTAACACCCCTACTCTTACAGTAAGTGCCTATGGGATCTTTAGTGACCACAGTGAGTATGTTATTATGTGAAGTGTCAAATGCACTCTGTCTGTGGCTGCCCTCTGAGCCTGGTGGCTGTGTGTGTCCTGGTAGAAGATAGCTGTGCCTCCAGACAGCTGTGCGGAGGGAACCAGGCAGCCACAGAGAGGATGATCCAGTTTGGCCGCGAACTGCAGGGCCTCAACGAGCAGCTGTGCCGTGAATACGGCAAGAACGCCACACACAAAAAGATGCTACAGGTACCCAGGGGGGAGGGGGTGTCATGAGTCAGGACAGGTGGGGGAGTTTTCACACAAAAGAAGACTGGCACACTGTGGGACACTGGCTGCGTTCACGCAGGCAGCCCAATTCTAATATGTTTTCCACTAATTGGTATTTTGACCGATCACATCAGATCTTTTCACATCAGATCTTTTTCAGAGCTGATCTGATTACGTGGAAAAAAAGATCCGAATTGGACTGCCTGTGTAAACACAGCCTATGACTCACGAATTGTATAATTGTCAACCACCGCCCTGGGGAAGGTTTGGTTTTTGGTTATACTGCAGTACAATGACTTCTGAACTGTTTACACACTACTACTTGTATATGACCATTTTTCTCTCACAATTAAGGTAGATTCACTGAAAGTGTCTGATGTTCCCTCTGTTTAAGACCATTATACTGCCTCCAAATCATAGTCATTAATGGGCTTTTACTGGTCCTGCTGTTTTCTCTTTCTCGCGATCTCCCTATCCCTTTCTCTCTTTCTTTTATCACAGGATGCGTTCAGTCTATTAGCATATTCGGATCCCTGGAACTGCCCAGTGGGGCAACAGCTAGATCCAATGCAGAGAGAAAATATCTGCTCTGCTCTTAACAGCGCCATCTTGGGTAAGGCTAAGTTTCACATACAGTACACAATGTCATGAATACACAGAGAAAAATAGAAATAACTCACGCTCACACAAGCTATTTTTCTTTTTCTACAATTATGTTTTTGGGGCAGTTACTCCCAGCACCACAAAAGTGATAAGCTTGGTAGTGTGTATGTTAACTCTCTTCTAATGAATACACACTGCACATTTTCCATGTACATGTTTGAGTCACACATGCTTTATTAGCTAATGTACACACCCTGATGTTGTCTTTTGGCCCCTCAGAGTCTCAGAACTTGCCTAAGCAGCCCCCTCTGATGCTGGCTCTGGGTCAGGCCACAGAGTGTGTCCAGCTCATGGCCAGGGTCCGCTCAGGCTCCTGTTCCTTTGCCAGAGTAGACAACTTTTTGCACTAGCCCCAGTCCAGGTGAGTCTGGACAGACACCCACACATACTCCCCTCCCCTTATAGCGCCACATCAAAGCACTGTTTAACCTATAAGGAACTTTTTAGGAATGTTTTTGACTACACATGGCCCATGCTGTTAGTGTCAAGTTGATCAAGAAGGATTGTCGGGTTACAGTTTGGAGTACAGCGATAGTGTTGGATAGATTACAATACAGCAGTTCCAAAAATGTTTATTTCATTCCTAAGGCAATGTTCAGGACTGCTAAGAAGAGGTCTTTCCAATTGGTTGCCAGATGACTGAGGAGAGCATGTGTTTGAATTGGTGTGTCGCTTGCCATTTGGCAGAAGCAGATGGACAGGGGAATGAGTAGAACATGAAGAAAGCTTATTTTTAATTTAGTATTATCAAATACAAAATGTGTGACTCTATTTAAAGATAATTAATTATTATTCTGTTTATCTAGTCATTTTCTCGTTTTATTTGGTCAGTTTGTTGTGCTCATCTTGAAAAAAATAATCTAATTCCGTTTTTTGTTTTTGAGTGGATTTCAATTCCCTACACAGTATTTTAAAGATGTTCATCATATCAAAGAAATTCACATTAGCATGCTTTGTCGTTACCAAGCAAGATACTCTGGTTTCTTTCATTCAGAACTCAGGTATTCACAGCACCTTTGTCATCTCAGTATGGGATATTGTAGACAGAGGTAGGTTTACCCAGCAGTACAGTGGCTCCTATTTAGGACCTGCATTTTTTGGTTCAAATTCTTACTTCTTAGTATGCCTTTACTCCAGAAGCTCATTTAATTTAAAGTTAAAGGACTGAATTTGCTTCTGAGAGTACACATGGCTGTAAGCCACTAACCTGCTGGTCACCTCTGATCCCCACACAGTAGCATTCACCTCAGATCACACAATGATGACACTGATTCATTTGTGAGTTTCAATATAAGTGTAGTATATTTCCAATCAAGTGTCTCCATTAGTTTGATGTGTAACATATACAGTAACAATACACAGACATACAGTACTGTGGTTAATTTTGAATTTGGAAATCACTCTTTGGTTTTTTACTTGCTAATAATATTGAAGATATGAAGTCTGATGTTGAATATATACAATTTAATGATATATTGAATAAAAAAGTTAAACCGTTTGCCAAATTACAAGGCTTTTAATTTGACCTACCCTTTTCTAACAACTTGCCAGTTGCCACTTATTTCACACAGTCAGTCAATCAGTATTTTCATACCAGTGCTTTGACAGCCAGCCCATTGTCATATCATCGCCAACATGCTTATTTTTCGCTTTCTTGAGGGTTCTATTTTTCTCACAACTAATGTGAAAGCTGTCGTGTTAATACATAAACTCTAAACACAGACTCGGTCACTTTTACAAATGTGACCATAACTTTGTTCGTTTGTTTTTGTTTGTTTATTATATTCACAGTTGAATGTGTATTTTTTTCCATTATAGTATGTATTCTCCTATATTTAACAGATGGGTTGGCACATGGGACAGTTGTATATCATTGATGTATTAACCCAGTATTTCACCCAGCCAGCCAGCAGGAGGTTCTCCACTGTGTGTTGAATGTAGTTTAGCAGATTATATTACGTTTATGCTTCAGATTTGCTGCTGGCCACCATGAGATTGATATTGACATCCCCTGTACCTGTAAGACATATTGCAATGTGTTTCATTAACTTTTTTGACAATCCTGCAAAGCATGTTTGTGAAGCAAAGGGGTGGTGGGAGTAGAAATCATCAACTTCTGTGTTGTTAGTGTTTGGTAGACTTTAATATCCCATAACATTGGTCACAAAGGCCTTTTTTTTTTTTTTTTTTACGCAATCTTTACATTTGGACATCTCCAATCTGCATCATGGGCTTATACCTGCTAATATATATAAAAAACAAGAACAAATACCTTCACTTAATTATATGAGGGTCCTCTATTGTATTGCAGATGGAAGCAAAATACTTTATCCCGAACCTGTGAAAGACTGACATACTGGGGCACATAATCTTTCAAGCATACATATACATATATATGTGTGTGTGTGTGTGTGTGTGTGTGTGTGTGTGTGTATGTACAGTGAGGGAAAAAAGTATTTGATCCCCTGCTGATTTTGTACGTTTGCCCACTGACAAAGACATGATCAGTCTATAATTTTAATGGTAGGTTTATTTGAACAGTGAGAGACAGAATACCAACAAAAAAATCGAGAAAAACGCATGTAAAAAATGTTATACATTGATTTGCATTTTAATGAGGGAAATAAGTATTTGACCCCTCTGCAAAACATGACTTAGTACTTGGTGGCAAAACCCTTGTTGGCAATCACAGAGGTCAGACGTTTCTTGTAGTTGGTTTCGAGGCTGATGTTTGGCAACTTGAACCTTCAGCTCCCTCCACAGATTTTCTATGGGATTAAGGTCTGGAGACTGGCTAGGTCACTACAGGACCTTAATGTGCTTCTTCTTGAGCCACTCCTTTGTTGCCTTGGCCGTGTGTTTTGGGTCATTGTCATGCTGAATACCCATCCACGACCCATTTTCAATGCCCTGGCTGAGGGAAGGAGGTTCTCACCCAAGATTTGACGGTACATGGCCCCGTCCATCGTCCCTTTGATGCGGTGAAGTTGTCCTGTCCCCTTAGCAGAAAAACACCCCCAAAGCATAATGTTTCCACCTCCATGTTTGACGGTGGGGATGGTGTTCTTGGGGTCATAGGCAGCATTCCCCCTCCTCCAAACACGGCGAATTGAGTTGATGCCAAAGAGCTCCATTTTGGTCTCATCTGACCACAACACTTTCACCCAGTTCTCCTCTGAATCATTCAGATGTTCATTGGCAAACTTCAGACAGGCCTGTATATGTGCTTTCTTGAGCAGGGGGACCTTGCGGGCGCTACAGGATTTCAGTCCTTCACGGCGTAGTGTGTTACCAATTGTTTTCTTGGTGACTATGATCCCAGCTGCCTTGAGATCATTGACAAGATCCTCCCATGTAGTTCTGGGCTGATTCCTCACCATTCTCATGATCATTGCAACTCCACGAGGTGAGATCCTTCATGGTGCCCCAGGCCGAGTGAGATTGACAGTTCTTTTGTGTTTCTTCCATTTGCGAATAATCGCACCAACTGTTGTCACCTTCTCACCAAGCTGCTTGCCGATGGTCTTGTAGCCCATTCCAGCCTTGTGTAGGTCTACAATCTTGCCCCTGACATCCTTGGAGAGCTCTTTGGTCTTGGCCATGGTGGAGAGTTTGGAATCTGATTGATTGATTGCTTCTGTGGACAGGTGTTTTTTATACAGGTAACAAACTGAGATTAGGAGCACTCCCTTTAAGAGTGTGCTCCTAATCTCAGCTCGTTACCTGTATAAAAGACACCTGGGAGCCAGAAATCTTTCTGATTGAGAGGGGGTCAAATACTTATTTCCCTCATTAAAATGCAAATCAATTTATAACATTTTTGAAATGTGTTTTTTTTTGTTAGTTTTTTTGTAATTCTGTCTCTCACTGTTCAAATAAACCTACCATTAAAATTATAGACTGATCATTTCTTTGTCAGTGGGCAAATGTACAAAATCAGCAGGGGATCAAATACTTTTTTCCCTCTCTGTGTATATATATATATACACACACACACATATATACCGTAACCCATGTTGGATTAAGGTTTTAGTTGTTTTAACTCATGTTGCTCAATTAATTAAATCTTTAGGTGGCGCTATCCATTCGCATGGGTTTTCACTATAGAGTTTACCAGTAATTCTGAACATACATTCAGTGATAGGCTTTCAATATTGAAAGCAGCCAGCAGATATATTTTGATTATATCTTATGACATTATAGCAAATCTCTTGATGGCTTTCAAAAACAGCAAATGGCTTTTAAACTCATATAGCCACCCAAAATGTATATTTCCATTTTAAGATTATTCATTATGAAGTAGAATTACTAATGTATAGGGATGTGTGTGTGTGTAGAAAGGTAGGAATCTGTCGAGCTTCTCCTGGGACTTTTATAGACACACCTACACCTACTGTAGCAAACAATCTCCCAGTTCTCCATTTATGTTTTATGTTTTTCCATTGGAGCTATCCATGCTTCAAATGGAGAGGGCAATGGAATTAGGAATTAAAAACAACAAGCTGTGCACAATTTACTTATATTATTATATTAATTTCATTTTTGAGTTTAGCAATTGTGAAGTGAGTTACCCTCTACTTGGCATGAAACTTTTAGAACCTTTAAAACAATATATATATAAAAAATAGAGATTATAATGATAATAAAAAAAAAAAACATACCTATGTACTGGAAACACGATAAAGAAATATTGTATTCTGTTTAATTTTGACAGAACTATTTTTATTAAAATACACATCCATAAGCATAGTTTTGGTCTCTTGTCATTATTTGGTGGATGTACTGCTTTTGAATGATGGTGACTTGAGGTTGACTGAAAAGTAAAAATATCTAGATATTTGAGAACATGGCTCATAAACTCAGCAAAAAAAGTCATTTTTCAGGACCCTGTCTTTCAAAGATAATTAGTAAAAATCCAAATAACTTAACAGATCTTCATTGTAAAGTGTTTAAACACTGTTTCCCATGCTTGTTCAATGAACCATAAACAATTAATGAAAATGCACCTGTGGAACGGTCGTTAAGACACTAACAGCTTACAGATGGTAGGCAATTAAGGTCACAGTTATGAAAACTTGGGACACTAAAGAGGCCTTTCTACTGACTCTGAAAAACACCAAAAGAAATGCCCAGGGTCCCTGCTCATCTGCGTGAATGTGCCTTAGGCATGCTGCAAGGAGGCATGAGGACTGCAGATGTGGCCAGGGCAATAAATTGCAATGTCCGTACTGTGAGACGCCTAAGATAGCGCTACAGGGAGACAGGACTGACAGCTGATCATCCTCGCAGTGGCAGAGCACGTGTAACAACACCTGCACAGGATCGGTACATCCGAAAATCACACCTGCAAGACAGGTACAGGATGGCAACAACAACTGCCCGAGTTACACCAGGAACGCACAATCCCTCCATCAGTGCTCAGACTGTCCGCAATAGGCTGAGAGAGGCTGGACTGAGGGCTTGTAGGCCTGTTGTAAGGCAGGTCCTCACCAGACATCACCGGCAACAACGTCGCCTATGGGCACAAACCCACCGTCGCTGGACCAGACAGGACTGGCAAAAAGTGCTCTTCACTGACAAGTCGCAGTTTTGTATCACCAGGGGTGATGGTCGGATTCGCGTTTATCGTCGAAGGAATGAGCGTTACACCGAGGCCTGTACTCTGGAGCGGGGATCGATTTGGAGGTGGAGGGTCCGTCATGGTCTGGGGCGGTGTGTCACAGCATCATCGGACTGAGCTTGTTGTCATTGCAGGCAATCTCAACGCTGTGCGTTACAGGGAAGACATCCTCCTCCTTCATGTGGTACCCTTCCTTCAGGCTCATCCTGACATGACCCTCCAGCATGACAATGCCACCAGCCATACTGTTAATTCTGTGTGTAATTTCCTGCAAGACAGGAATGTCAGTGTTTTGCCATGGCCAGCAAAGAGCCCGGATCTCAATCCCATTGACCACGTCTGGGACCTGTTGGATCGGAGGGTGAGGGCTAGGGCCATTCCCCCCAGAAATGTCCGGGAACTTGCAAGTGCCTTGGTGGAAGAGTGGGGTAACATCTCACAGCAAGAACTGGCAAATCTGGTGCAGTCCATGAGGAGGAGATGCACTGCAGTACTTAATGCAGCTGGTGGCCACACCAGATACTGACTGTTACTTTTGATTTTGACCCCCCCTTTGCTCAGGGACACATTACATTTTTGTTAGTCACATGTCTGTGGAACTTGTTCAGTTTATGTCTCAGTTGTTGAATCTTGTTATGTTCATACAAATATTTACACATGTTAAGTTTGCTGAAAATAAATGCAGTTGACAGTGAGAGGACGTTTCTTTTTTTTTGCTGAGTTTATATTACATGAAGGGGCTTGCACCTGCATGGTTGAGCCCCTTCATG